AAAGAAAAAGAAGAAGAAGAAGAAAAAGAAGAAAAAAAAATGAAAAGAAGAAGAAAGAAGAAAAAAAGGAAGAAAAAGGAAGAAGAAGAAGAAAAAGAAGAAGAAGAAGAAAAGAAGAAGAAAAAGAAGAAGAAGAAAGAAGAAAAAATAAGAAAAAGGGGGAAAAAGAAGAAAAAAGAAGAAGAAGAAGAAGAAAAGAAGAAGAAGAAGAAAAAAAGAAGAAGTGAAGAAGAAGAAAAAGGAAAAAAGAAGAAAAGAAGAAGAAAAGAAGAAGAAGAAGAAGAAAAGAAGAAGAAGAAAAAGAAGAAGAAGAAGAAGAAGAAGAAAAGAAGAAGAAGAAAAGAAGAAAAGAAGAGAAGAAGAAGAAAGAAAAAAAAGAAGAAGAAGAAAAAAAGGGAAATAAAAAGAAGAAAAGAAAAAAAAAAAGAAAAAGAAGAAAGAAGAAAAGAAAAAGAAAATGAAGAAGAAGAAAAGAAGAAGAAGAGGAAGAAGAAGAAAAGAAGAAAAGAAAAAGAAGAAGGAAAGAAGAAGAAGGAAGAAGAAGAAGAAGAAGAAGAAAAGAAAAGAAGAAGAAGAAAAAAAAAAAGAGGAAGAAGAAAAAGAAATGAAGAAGAAAAGAAGAAGAATAAGAAGAAAAAGAAGAAGAAAAGAAAAATAAGAAGAAAAGAAGAAAAAAGAAGAAGAAGGGAAGAAAAAGAAAAGAAGAAAGAAAAAAAAAGAAAAAGAAAAAAGAAGAAGAAGAAGAAGAAAAGAAGAAGAAGAAGAAGAAAAAGAAGGGGGAAGAAAAAGAAGAAGAAAGAAGAAGAAGAAGAATAGAAGAAGAAAAAAAGAAAGAAGAAGAAGAAAAAAAAAGAAAAAGGAAGAAAGGAGAAGAAGATAAAAAAAAGAAAAGGAAGAAAAAAAAAAATGAAGAAGAAAAAGAAGAAAAAAAGAAGAAAAAAAATAAAAAAGAAGAAGAAGAAAAAAAAAAAGAAGAAAAAGAAGAAGAAAAAGAAGAGAAGAAAAAAAAGAAGAAAAAAAAGGAAGAAGAAGAATAAGAAAGAAAAGAAGAAAGAAGAGAAGAAGAAAAGAAAGAAGAAAAAGAAGAAAAAGAAGAAGAAGAAAAAGGGAAGAAAAGAAGAAGAAGAATGAAAAGAAGAAGAAGAAAAAGGAAGAAGAAAAAGAAGAAGAAAAGAAAAAAGAAGAAGAAAAAGGAAAAAAAGAAGAAAAAGAAAGAAGAAAAAGAAGAAAAAAAGGGAAAGAAGAGGGAAGAAAAGAGAAAGAAGAAAAAGGTAAAAAAAGAAGAAGAAAGAAGAAGAAAAAGAAGAAGAAAAGAAGAAGAAGAAGAAGAAAAAAGAGAAAAAAGTAGAAGAAGAAGAAGAGAAAAGAAAAAAGAAGAAAAAAGAAGAAGAAGAAGAAAAAATGAAGAAAAAGAAGAAGAGAAAAAAAAGGAAAAGAAGAAGAAGAAAGAAGAAAAGAAAAAAAGAAGAAAAAAAAGTAGAAGAAGAAGAAGTAGAAAAAAGAAGAAGAAGAAGAAGAAAAAGAAGAAAAGAAGAAGAAGAAGAAGAAAGAAGAAGAGAAGAAGAAGAAAAAGAAGAAGAAGAGAAGTAAAAAGACAAAGAAGGAAAGAAGAAAAAAAAGTGAAGAAATAAATGCGTAGCATAGGGTATTAGTGTTTACTAGAATAATAGTAGTCTATAGCAGTAAAGTATAGTAATATTAGAAATAGCAGTACTGTATTAAAATAATGGTAGTAATAGCAAGGGATATAGTAGAGCATAGTGCAAGGGGTTAATAGTATATAGCAGTGATGGTAGTATATATAAAATAGTTGGGTAGTAATAGTAGGGGTAGAGTAGCAGTAGCAATGGTAGTAGAGCAGAAATAGTAATAGTATAGTAATAGAAAAAATGGGAGTTCATAATAGTATAAGTAGTTGCAATGGTATAGGGTAGTTGAAAATGGTATAATACAAGGGGTAGTAGAGTAGTAGTCAATGGGTAATAATAGTAGAGCAGTGAGGTATAGTAGTAGTAGAAAAGGGTTGGGGGGTAGTAGTGCAGTAAAATGGTAGTAGTACGTAGAAATGGTAGTGTACATAATAGAAGTGTAGTAGTAGCAAGGGTAGCACTAGTATAAAAAATTTGGTAGTAATGAAATGGGTTAGTAGTTAGCAAGGGGGTTAATAGTGTAGTAGCAGTGGTGGTAGTAGTAGCAGTAGTATTAGTAGTGGTAGTAGTAGCAATAGCAACGTTAGTAGTAGCAGTAGCAATGGTAGTAGTAGCAATAGCAATGGTAGTACTAGTAGTAATGGTAATGGTAGTAGTAGTAGTAGTAGTAGGAATGTGTAGTAGAATGGGTGGTAGTAGTATTAGTAATGGTAGTGGTAGTAGTAGCAAAGGTAGTAGTAGCAGTAGCAATGGTAGTAGTAGGTAGTAGTGGTGGAAAACTCACAGGATGAGAGACGAAACATCAAGTCACACCTTGAAGAATCTTACTCCTTAGCAGACTCCGCCTTTACCTGTTCTGATGCTACGTGACCAATGCAGATCATGGGATCCTTGAAGTATCCACACAGCTGCAGGAGGAACAACATTGTTAGTGCATGAATCATCCACACAGCTGCAGGTGGAACAATATTGTTAGTGAATGAATCATCCACACAGCTGCAGGAGGAACAACATTGTTAGTGCATGAATCATCCACACAGCTGCAGGAGGAACAACATTGTTAGTGCATGAATCATCTACACAGCTGCAGGTGGAACAACATTGTTAGTGCATGAATCATCTACACAGCTGCAGGTGGAACAACATTGTTAGTGCATGAATCATCCACACAGCTGCAGGAGGAACAACATTGTTAGTGCATGAATCATCCACACAGCTGCAGGAGGAACAACATTGTTAGTGCATGAATCATCTACACATCTGCAGGTGGAACAACATTGTTAGTGCATGAATCATCCACACAGCTGCAGGAGGAACAACATTGTTAGTGCATGAATCATCCACACAGCTGCAGGAGGAACAACATTGTTAGTGCATGAATCATCCACACAGCTGCAGGAGGAACAACATTGTTAGTGCATGAATCATCTACACAGCTGCAGGAGGAACAACATTGTTAGTGCATGAATCATCTACACAGCTGCAGGAGGAACAACATTGTTAGTGCATGAATCATCCACACAGCTGCAGGAGGAACAACATTGTTAGTGCATGAATCATCTACACAGCTGCAGGAGGAACAACATTGTTAGTGCATGAATCATCTACACAGCTGCAGGTGGAACAACATTGTTAGTGCATGAATCATCCACACAGCTGCAGGAGGAACAACATTGTTAGTGCATGAATCATCCACACAGCTGAGGAGGAACAACATTGTTAGTGCATGAATCATCTACACAGCTGCAGGTGAACAACATTGTTAGTGCATGAATCATCCACACAGCTGCAGGAGGAACAACATTGTTAGTGCATGGAATCATCCACACAGCTGCAGGAGGAACAACATTGTTAGTGCATGAATCATCTACACAGCTGCAGGTGGAACAACATTGTTAGTGCATGAATCATCCACACAGCTGCAGGAGGAACAACATTGTTAGTGCATGAATCATCTACACAGCTGCAGGTGGAACAACATTGTTAGTGCATGAATCATCCACACAGCTGCAGGAGGAACAACATTTGTTAGTGCATGAATCATCCACACAGCTGCAGGAGGACCAACATTGTTAGTGCATGAATCATCCACACAGCTGCAGGAGGAACAACATTGTTAGTGCATGAATCATCCACACAGCTGCAGGAGGAACAACATTGTTAGTGCATGTATCATCCACACAGCTGCAGGAGGAACAACATTGTTAGTGCATGAATCATCCACACAGCTGCAGGTGGAACAATATTGTTAGTGCATGAATCATCCACACAGCTGCAGGTGGAACAATATTGTTAGTGCATGAATCATCCACACAGCTGCAGGTGGAACAATATTGTTAGTGCATGAATCATCTACACAGCTGCAGGAGGACCAACATTGTTAGTGCATGAATCATCCACACAGCTGCAGGAGGAACAACATTGTTAGTGCATGAATCATCTACACAGCTGCAGGAGGAACAACATTGTTAGTGCATGAATCATCCACACAACTGCAGGGGGAACAACATTGTTAGTGCATGAATCATCCACACAGCTGCAGGAGGAACAACATTGTTAGTGCATGAATCATCCACACAGCTGCAGGAGGAACAACATTGTTAGTGCATGAATCATCCACACAGCTGCAGGTGGAACAATATTGTTAGTGCATGAATCATCCACACAGCTGCAGGTGGAACAATATTGTTAGTGCATGAATCATCCACACAGCTGCAGGTGGAACAATATTGTTAGTGCATGAATCATCTACACAGCTGCAGGAGGACCAACATTGTTAGTGCATGAATCATCCACACAGCTGCAGGAGGAACAACATTGTTAGTGCATGAATCATCTACACAGCTGCAGGTGGAACAATATTGTTAGTGCATGAATCATCTACACAGCTGCAGGAGGAACAATATTGTTAGTGCATGAATCATCTACACAGCTGCAGGAGGAACAACATTGTTAGTGCATGAATCATCCACACAGCTGCAGGTGGAACAATATTGTTAGTGCATGAATCATCCACACAGCTGCAGGAGGAACAACACTGTTAGTGCATAAATCATCCACACAGTTGCAGGTGGAACAACACTGTTAGTGCATAAATCATCCACACAGCTGCAGGAGGAACAACATTGTTAGTGCATGAATCATCCACACAGCTGCAGGTGGAACAACATTGTTAGTGCATGAATCATCCACACAGCTGCAGGAGGAACAACATTGTTAGTGCATGAATCATCCACACAGCTGCAGGTGGAACAACATTGTTAGTGCATGAATCATTAACACAGCTGCAGATGGAACAATATTGTTAGTGCATGAATCATCCACACAGCTGCAGGAGGAACAGCATTGTTAGTGCATGAATCATCCACACAGCTGCAGGTGGAACAATATTATTAGTGCATGAATCATCCACACAGCTGCAGGTGGAACAACATTGTTAGTGCATGAATCATCCACACAGCTGCAGGTGGAACAACATTGTTAGTTGCATGAATCATCCACACAGCTGCAGGAGGAACAACATTGTTAGTGCATGAATCATCCACACAGCTGCAGGTGGAACAACATTGTTAGTGCATGAATCATCCACACAGCTGCAGGAGGAACAACATTGTTAGTGCATGAATCATCCACACAGCTGCAGGAGGAACAACATTGTTAGTGCATGAATCATCCACACAGCTGCAGGAGGAACAACATTGTTAGTGCATGAATCATCCACACAGCTGCAGGAGGAACAACATTGTTAGTGCATGAATCATCCACACAGCTGCAGGAGGAACAGCATTGTTAGTGCATGAATCATCCACACAGCTGCAGGAGGAACAACATTGTTAGTGCATGAATCATCCACACAGCTGCAGGTGGAACAATATTGTTAGTGCATGAATCATCCACACAGCTGCAGGAGGAACAGCATTGTTAGTGCATGAATCATCCACACAGCTGCAGGAGGAACAACATTGTTAGTGCATGAATCATCCACACAGCTGCAGGTGGAACAATATTGTTAGTGCATGAATCATCCACACAGCTGCAGGTGGAACAACATTGTTAGTGCATGAATCATCCACACAGCTGCAGGAGGAACAGCATTGTTAGTGCATGAATCATCCACACAGCTGCAGGAGGAACAACATTGTTAGTGCATGAATCATCCACACAGCTGCAGGAGGAACAACATTGTTAGTGCATGAATCATCTACACAGCTGCAGGAGGAACAGCATTGTTAGTGCATGAATCATCCACACAGCTGCAGGTGGAACAACATTGTTAGTGCATGAATCATCCACACAGCTGCAGGAGGAACAGCATTGTTAGTGCATGAATCATCCACACAGCTGCAGGAGGAACAACATTGTTAGTGCATGAATCATCCACACAGCTGCAGGAGGAACAACATTGTTAGTGCATGAATCATCTACACAGCTGCAGGAGGAACAGCATTGTTAGTGCATGAATCATCCACACAGCTGCAGGAGGAACAACATTGTTAGTGCATGAATCATCTACACAGCTGCAGGAGGAACAACATTGTTAGTGCATGAGCAATGACCTAAGACACAAATACTTTACAATGTTACAATGTACCAATATATTTGGTACAGTTCATTCACAGTCATAACGTTACTATGTTATACTAGTGAACTGGTCATTCTCAGGTCACTGTGGTTCTTCAGATGATGGAAGGAAGGAAGGAAGGAAGGAAGGAGGGAAGGAGGGAGAACGAAGATAGGGAGGTAAGAAACACAGAGGGAGCAAATGCTCCACGTACATACATATTTGTTAACGAGTTATTAGAATAACAAATCTGCTGGAAAAATCAATATTGTGCTATACACAGATTTAATGTAATTTTAATTCTGGAATTCTAAATTGTGAAAGACAGCATCTGGGTTGGGTTTCGATCGTGTGGAAGATTGTAATTGCTCCACACCAAACAAACTGCAGTGTCTGCTAACAGAATCAAAACTCCAGTTAACAACTCTGGATAACAAACATCTAGTGTCCAGGAGCTGTATGTTGAAACCGTACAAATAAAGTTTGGAAATTCGCATTGAAAAACATACCTTAATCTTTCTATAAACAGGTAACGGAAGTAACAAACGGGTAGTTACCGTTTTGGGCGCCTGGCGATGACGCCGCACCATTGACAACAGAGACCGGACCAATCTCACACTCGGAGCTGACGGTACAAGGCTCACCTGTGGAGGAGAGAGAGGAGGTGATGCTTGAGTCTGTGTTTGTGTGTGTGTACTCACAATTTGTGGTTAGGGTTGAGTCACAACTCCTTGCCCATCACTCCTTTGGTTACGTGTGGTGGTGTGTGACATGAAGAAATGCTTTCCAACATTTAGTACTCTATCTATCTAACTTGCAGTTGTGACTCTTGTGTGGTTCCGATCGTTGAAACATTTGCTCACCATCCACTGTAATTCTCTCAGTACGCTTTATATCGTGATCCATGTGTCCTGTGGTGTGTGTGTGTGTGTAGAATAGTTTGTGTGTGTGGTGATCGTGTTGTGTGTTGTGTACGTGTAAGTGTGTAGTGTCGTTGTGTGTGCCTGTGTGTGGTTGTGTGTGTGTGTATGTGTGTGTGTGTTGTGTGATGTGTGTGTGTGTGTGTGATGTGTGTGTGTGTGTTTGTGTGTGTGTGTATGTGTGGTTGTGTGTGTGGTGTGTGTGTGTGTGTGTGTGTGTGATGTGTGTGTGTGTTTGGTGATGGTTGTGATGTTGTGTTGTGTGTGTGTGTGTGTAGTGTGTATTGTGTTGTGTGTGTGTGTGTGTAGTGTGTGTTGTGTGTGTGTGTATGTGTGTATGTGTGTTGTGTGTGATGTGTTGTGTGTTTGTGTGTGTGTGTGTGTGTGTGTGTGTGTGTGTGTGTGTGTGTGTGTGTGTGTGTGTTGTGTGTGTGTGTGTGTGTGTGTGTGTGTGTGTGTGTGTGTGTGTGTGTGTGTGTGTGTGTGTGTGTGTGTGTGTGTGTGTGTGTGTGTGTGTGTGTGTGTTGTTGTGTGTGTGTGTGTGTGTGTGTGTGTGTGTGTGTGTGTGTGTGTGTGTGTTGTGTGTGTGTGTGTGTGTGTGTGTGTGTGTGTGTGTGTGTGTGTGTGTGTGTGTGTGTGTGTGTGTGTTGTGTATGTGTGTGTGTGTGTGTGTGTGTGTGTGTGTGTGTGTGTGTGTGTGTGTGTGTGTGTGTGTGTGTGTGCACTCACCTACATGTACTCACCTATATGTGGTTGCAGGGTCGAGTCATAGCTCCTGGCCCCGCCTCTTAACTGATCGATACTAATTCACTCTCTCCCTACTCCATGATCTTTGTCATACCTCTTCTTGAAGCTATTTAGGGAACTTCCCTTCCACTACTTCACTCTCCAGATTATTCCGCTTCCTGTCAACTCTAAGGCTAAAGAAATACTTCCTAACTATCGCTATGACTCTTCTGGGTTTCAGCTCCAATTGTGTCCCTTTGTTCCTGTTTCCCATCTCTGAAACATTCGTTCCCTGTCCACCTTGTCAACCCCTCTAAGTATTTTATACGTTTTTTATCATGTCCCCTCTATCCCTCCTATCCTCTAGTGTCATCAGGTTGAGTTCCCTTAACCTCTCCATAAGACATATCCCTCAGTTCCGGGACTAATCGTGTTGCAAATTTTTGCACATTCTCCAATTTCTTGACGTGTTTGACTAGTGAGGGTTCCATACTGGCGCTGCTACTCCAGTATGGGCCTTACGTACACGGGTGTACAATGTCGTGAATGACTCCTTACCCCAGTGTCAAAAACGCCAATCTCAGGTTTGCCATCTCCCATATGCGCAGCAGTTAATTGATTGATGTGTGCCTCAGGGGACATTTTTCGTTATAATGCTTACCCCAAGATCCTTTTCTTTAATTGACGTTTTACAGCTTTAGATTTCCTAACCTGTACGCTGTCTGCGGTCTTCTGTATCCTTCCCCAATTTTAAAGACCTTAAACATTTACTGAGGTTAAACTCCAGGAGCCATTTGTCGGACCATACTTGTATTTGTCCAGATCCCTTTGTAATCTTAACTGATCCTCGCCCACTTGATTCTCCTCATCATTTCACATCATCAGCGAACAGTGACACTTTTGAATCCAAATTCCTTCCACCATGTCATTCACGTATACAAGAAACAGCACCGGGCCTATGACTAAAACCTTGGGGAAACCCCCAAACTCGACATGCGCCCACTCCGACACTTCAGCACGTCCAACATTTTGTTGTTTCCTTTCCTGTCAGGTATTCCCTGATCCACTGCAGTACTTTCCCTGTTATTCCTGCCTGCTCTCTAATTTTTTGCACCAGTCTCTTTTTGTGGTACTGTGTCAAAACCCTTTCTTGCAGTCAAAAAAGATGCAATCTACCCATCCCTCTCACTACTGTCTTACTTCTGTTACCTTATCGTAGAACTCAAGGATTTCCCATCTCTGAAGCCGTGCTGACTGTCATGTATGAGCCCAATCTCATCAATGTGTTCCACCACTCTTCTCCTGATAATCTTTTCCATGACTTACATACTATATAAGTCGTGACACTGGTCTGTATTTTAAAACGCTGCCTGTCTGTCTCTTTTCTTAAAAATTGGAACTACATATGCTGTCTTCCACGCTTCAGGCAACTGCCCAGTTTCGATAAATTTACTGAAGATTGCCACTAGGCGGCACACACAGTTCCTCTGCTCCCTCTCTCAGTATCCATGGAGATATGTTATCTGGGCCCACCCCCTTTTTGAGGTATCTAGTTCGTCTTAGCTTTTTTCTTCACCTCTACCTTGGTTAGTGTATTGTGTCCACACCTGCTGGTGCCCCCTTTCCTCCACAGTTTGCTGGAAGCATTCCTGACTCTATTGTGAATACTTCTTCTAAATCTTTTGTTTATTTCATCACATATTTCCCTTGGGGTCACTCTTCGTCAGCTTCCCTCCTTCTTTCCTCAGCCTGATTACCTGGTCCTTGACTGTTGTTTTTCTCCTAATGAAACTGTATAACAATTTTGGGTTTTCAGATTTGGCTTTTGATGCTGTGTTGTTCTCGAATTGCCTCTGGGCCTCTCTCCTTATCCTTGCATATTTCGTTTCTGGTTCTTCTCCCTCAGCTCCTTGTTTTTCTTGAGTCCTTTGCCTGCTATACCTTTTCATGCTCTCACACACTTGGCTTTGGCCTCTTTACACCTCCAATTAAACCAGGGGCTCACTCAGGTCTTACCATTTTTTCTGTTGCCCTTTTGGGTATGAACCTTTCCTTTGCCTCCTGCACTTTAGTGGTCACTATTTCCATCATTTCATTTACTGTCTTTCCATCTAGTTCTCTTTCCCCACTGCATTTCATGCAGGAAACTTCTCATTCCTATGTAGTCCCCCTTTTTTTGAAGTCAATTTCTCTCTTTGTTCTCGTCTGCTGCATTCTCCACTTTTTAACTCAACAAGATATTCAAAGCTCAGGACATCATGATCACTAGCGCCAAGGGTCTTTCGTGGGTGATTATCCCTTATGTCTGAACTATTCAAGGTGAATATGAGATCCAGCCTTGCTGCAACATCCTCTCTCTCTCTCTGGCTGTATCCCTAACATGTTGATGCATGAAGTTCTCCAATACAGTCTCCAACATCTTAGCCCTCCATGTTTCTGGTCTCCCATGTGGCTCTAGGTTTTCCCAGTCAATGTCTTTATGATTGAAATCCCCCATTATAAGCAATTTTGTCCTACCCATATGAGCCCTCCTGGCCACTTCAGCTAGTGTATCCACCATTGCCCTATTGTGCACATCATACTCTTCTCTTGTTCTCCTGCTGTTAAGTGGTGTGTGTGTGTGTGTGTAAAACTGGAGTTAAGAGTTCTCTAAAACCGGTTGTGGTGGTTGTCTGGTTAATAGGATTTGAAACCTATCGACTGCACGAGAATCATTAAGAGCACATGACACCTGTCCACCACAAGTCAATAATATTTTAATCACTAAAATATTAATCATACATAAACTCTGGCTACTTATACACTTAAGGATATACACACCTCACTGCGTATATCTTAGAGACTTTATGGGTATTTTCTACGTCATAATCAAGTCTCACCTGACCTGGGATGAAGGGAAGAGTGCACGAGGAGGAACCTGTAACGCTCTTGCCTGGAAGAAACACAGGCGCCAGGTTTACGATGGACCAGCGGCACCTCGTTTTTTCAGTGGCGCAGATGACCTTCTCTCTGACCAGAGAACTCATGCAGGTCCCGGAGGCGGTTACGGAGAAATAAGTAGTCAAATATAATCAGAGAAAGAGACACACAATTAGAGAGAGAGGGGAGAATCAGAGAAGGACAGAGAGAAACAGCGTGAATAAGCTTTTATGCCACAAAACGGGCAAAAGCAGCAAAATTCACTTTTGGCCTGTACCCTTCCCAGAACCCCTTTACTCCATCTGAGATCATCATACCCAGGATGACTCGAGTATGGAACACATTCGTACAGCATAAAGAAAGTCAACGAGATAAAGTCATTGATCAAATGAAAAGTGGCCCAAGATGGCTCCCAATTCATCCTGTTCCCAACTTGTATGTCTCATAAAAATAAAAATTGCTTTCAATGAGCTGATGTAGGTAACGCTCTTATTCAAATTTAAATTTGGAATCCTTATACTGTAAAATATTCAATAAGCTAGGGATCTTAACCTTGTCAACCATGTTAAAATTAAAAATAAAATGAAAAAAAAAGGAGATGATGAGATATGTGGAGAGAGGAGAACAGAGGGAAGGAGAGGAGGAGGTAGGAGGGAGGATAGAGAGAAGAGAGAGAGAAGGAGGGAAGAGATATCAAGAAGAAGAAATCAGAGAGAGAGAAGAGTAGAGAGAGAGAAAAAGAAGAGAAAAAGAGAGAGAGAGACAGCAGAGAGAGAGCAGAAAAGGGGAAAGGAGAGGAGAGAAGAAGGAGGGTGAAGAGGAGGAAATCGAAAAAAGAAGAAAGAGAGTATAGATGAGAGAGAGAAAAATATAATAGTATATCACTGAAACATTGATATAATTTTATAGTATTAATTAATTTTTATTATTATTATATATTTTGGTTTTTAAACGAAACTGTGCGAAACAATTAAAAACACCAAGGGTAAAATAATCCTGAAAAGCAGAGAAATGGCCTTGATCCAGGAAGGAGAGGGGGGCAAGGCAACTGAAATCATGAGTAAAAGAATCAAGGTAAGGTCAGAGAAAAAGACTAACATGAGGAAATAGGAGAAACCCAAAGTAACAACGCAAGAAGAGGCAGAGCAAGAGCGAGAGGAAGAGCGAGAGTGGGAAGGCGAGAGAGGGGAAGGGGCAAAGAAACACCAGCAGAGCAGAACGCAGAGGAAGCAGAGAGAGAGCAGCAGCAGAGCAGAGCAGCGAGAGGATCAGAGAGAGACAGCAGCAGCAGAGCAGCGCGAGCAAAGGAACAGCAGCAGAGCCAGAAACAGCAGGAGCACAGCTGGAAGATCACAGATAAAAACAGAGAGAGCAAGAGATGCAAACAGACCCGGGCACACCCGCAGACGGAAGCAAAGCGAGAGCAGCAGATACGCGACAGAGAGCAAAGGCACACAGCAGCACAGGAAACAGGGCACACAGCACGCACCGCAGCCACACACAGCCAACAAGAGACAGCAGCAGCAGCACAGCACAACACCAGGGCCCGACAGCGCAGCACACAGAACCCGCCAACAGCAGCAGCACACCAGCAGCAGCCAGCGAAGCAGGCAGCACACAGCAGCAGCAAGGGGAGACAGCATGAGTTGTGTAAAGTTAAGGCCATGTCATTACCATAACAAGAAAAAAAATTTTTAAAAAAAAAAAGTAACGTGGGGACACAAACACCCAGCCAGACCCAGGGCGAAAAAAGGCCCGCGAAAGCCGGGGAAGAGGGAAGGGGGGGGAGGGGGAGGGAGTGAGGCCGGAAAAGAAAGGGGGGAAGAGGAAAGAGAGAGGAAAGGAGAGGAAGAAAAACGAAAGGGAAAAAGGTAAAAGAAAAGGGGAGGAAAAAAAACAAGGGAGAGGAGAAAGAGAAAAGGGAAGGTTATTAAGGGGTCTTCCATTTAAAATATTAAGGTTTTTTTAATAAAATTCATTAGGTGGACACCCCGTACCGGGGGCATTTAAAGTTTTATTCCAGGGAAGAGGGAAAGAGGGGAATTACCGTAAAGGGAAAATTAAAAGGTGAAAAAGTAACGAGAGGAAAGGAAACAAATAGAGGGGTCAAAAGGTTGGAAGAAGAGGGTAGTCCTTACCAGTACCGAGGGGGTCCTACCAGTAACGAATGTCTTAAAAGGGGGTCACTACCAGTAACGAGGGGCAATAAGGTTTGCCTTACCATACAACGAGGGTTTTTAAAAATTTAAATCACTTAACCCGTACACGGGGATTTTAAGGGGTTTCACTTTCCAGTAAAGGGGCCATAAGGGGTCATTACCAGTACACGAGGGTCATTAAAAGGGGTCACTTACCAGTCCGGGGTTTTTTTAAGGTGTCACTTACCAGTCCCGAGGGTATAAGGTGGTCACTTACCCGTACACTTTGGGATTTAATGGTCACTTACCAGTCCACGAGGGTCATTAAGGTGGTCACTTACCAGTACACGTGGGTTATTAAGGTGGTCACTTACCAGTCCACGAGGGTCATTAAGGTGGTCACTTACCAGTACACGAGGGTCATTAAGGTAGTCACTTACCAGTACACGAGGGTCATTAAGGTGGTCACTTACCAGTACACGAGAGTCATTAAGGTGGTCACTTACCAGTACACGAGGGTCATTAAGGTGGTCACTTACCAGTACACGAGAGTCATTAAGGTAGTCACTTACCAGTACACGAGGGTCATTAAGGTGGTCACTTACCAGTACACGAGGGTCATTAAGGTAGTCACTTACCAGTACACGAGGGTCATTAAGGTGGTCACTTACCAGTGCACGTGGGTCATTAAGGTGGTCACTTACCAGTACACGAGGGTCATTAAGGTGGTCACTTACCAGTACACGAGGGTCCTTAATGTGGTCACTTACCAGTACACGAGGGTCATTAAGGTGGTCACTTACCAGTACACGAGGGTCATTAAGATGGTCACTTACCAGTACCCGAGGGTCATTAATGTGGTCACTTACCAGTACACGAGGGTCATTAAGGTGGTCACTTACCAGTACACGAGGGTCATTAAGGTGGTCACTTACCAGTACACGAGGGTCATTAAGGTGGTCACTTACCAGTACACGAGGGGCATTATGGTGGTCACTTACCAGTACACGTGGGTCATTAAGGTGGTCACTTACCAGTACACGAGGGTCATTAAGGTGGTCACTTACCAGTACACGAGGGTCATTAAGGTGGTCACTTACCAGTACACGAGGGTCATTAAGGTGGTCACTTACCAGTACACGAGGGTCATTAAGGTGGTCACTTACCAGAACACGAGGGTCATTAAGGTAGTCACTTACCAGTACACGAGGGTCATTAAGGTGGTCACTTACCAGAACACGAGGGTCATTAAGGTAGTCACTTACCAGTACACGAGGGTCATTAAGGTGGTCACTTACCAAAACACGAGGGTCATTAAGGTGGTCACTTACCAGGAACTGAACACCCTCTATCAATGCTGAGAGGACCGACCACCTCATCCTCCATTGTTTACAGGAACTGAACAACCTCTCTCAAGCCTGAGGGGACTAACCACCTCATCTTCCACTGTTTACGGGATATAGTCTTAGCACTGAAGAGACGAAAGGCCACAGGTGAAAGAAACGTCTCCATAACAAAGATATACAGGTGTTACACATGTGTCTTGTTTACATACAAGGAATACCTGAACGATACATAGAGGGTACCTGAAGGATTGTGTCCGAGGGTCAACCTGAAGGATTGTGTCCGAGGGTCAACCTGAAGGATTGTGTCCGAGGGTCAACCTGAAGGATTGTGTCCGAGGGTCAACCTGAAGGATTGTGTCCGAGGGTCAACCTGAAGGATTGTGTCCGAGGGTCAACCTGAAGGATTGTGTCCGAGGGTCAACCTGAAGGATTGTGTCCGGTCCTAGACCAGTGAGTCATAAACAGTCATTTTTAGAACTGTTTCACTGTCATCCACTTATTGGATGACATCCATCCTACCTTCATCCACTTTCCTCCTCCTCCTCCTCCTCCTCCTCCTCCTCTTCCTCTTCCTCTTCCTCCTGCTTCTTCCCATTTTCGTTATTTCCTAATCTGAATGTATGGAGGGATGTGAGGGGCCGTAAGGGCGAAGACTCCATCAATCTCTTCCCTTCTCTGGCCCTTAAATGTTCGTCCTTGGTTGTGAGAGGCAGGGTGGGTAGGAGGGAGGCACGGAAGAGAAGAAATTGTCCCCTCCCTCTTTTCATTTGTTTCTCTCTTGCTTATTCTTCTCCAACCCTCTGTCTCTCACTCTGTCTTCTTTACCTGTCTCCCTCTATGCATTATTCTTCTCTCCTTGCTCTCCTTTTCCCCTCTTTCCTCCTTTCCTTCACCCCTCTCCCTCTGTACCCCTTCCCTCCTCTTCATTACCTCTCTCTCTCTCTTTCTCTCTCTCTCTCTCTCTTTCTCTCTCCTCTCTCTCTCTCCTCTCTCTCTCTCTCTCTCTCTCATCTCCTCTCTCTCTTCTCTTCTCTCTCTCTCTCTCTTCTCTCTCTCTCTCTCTCTCTCTCTCTCTCTCTCTCTACTCTCTCTCTCCTCTCTCTCCTCTCTCTCTCTCTTCCTCACCTTCTTCAAAGCCTCTAACAATGTTCCACCAGCAATAAAATCAAACAAAACAACGTCATTTTCATTAAGTTACTTTCACTAACAAAGTCATTTTCAATAACAACGTCACTTTCGCTAAATCACTTTCACTAATGAAGTCTCTTTCACTAAGTCACTTTCAATAACAAAGTCACTTTCACTAAGTCACTTTCATTAACAAAGTCAATTTCACTAAGTCACTTTCATTAACAAAGTCACCTTCACTAGCAAAGTCACTTTCACAGCTGCGCAACACACTAATTAATTTTATTACGAAGAAACGTAATTGAGATATAAAACGTAAGAAGATAATTAAGAAATGATTATAGCATATAATCTGCACAATAAATATAACCTGAAGGTAATGGTAATTAAGAATAATTATAGCAGTTTGTGATTATATCAGCTTTTAATTGCTGTAAGAAAGAGAATCTATAATTTGTACTCATAATATATATATAAATATATATATATATATATATATATATATATAT